ATTAAAATATGATACCCGAAAATATGATATTCGATTTCAGAAGAGTCGCCTACGTGCGAAAATCCACTTTCGAGAAAATAAAATCTAAAATAATTGATAGTTTCAGCTGACGGTCTCCCAACTGTGTCATGTTGCAGGTCTCATTTCAAAAAGAAGAGGAATACAATGGAATGATATAAAAAGGATACAATGATATACAAGGATAGAAGAAGAATACAATTGAATGATATAGAAAAGGATACAATGATATACACGGATAGAAGAAGAATACAGTTGAATGATAGAAAATGGATACAATGATATACAAGGATAGAAGAAGAATACAATTGAATCATATAAAATGGATACAATGACATACAAGGATAGAAGAAGAATACAATTGAATGATATAAAAAGGATACAATGATATACAAGGATAGAAGAATACAATGGAATAATATAGAAAAGGATACAATGATATACAAGGATAGAAGAAGAATACAATTGAATGATATAAAAAGGATACAATGATATACAAGGATAGAAGAATACAATGGAATAATATAGAAAAGGATACAATGATATTCAAGGATAGAAGAAGAATACAATGGAATGATATAAAAAGGATGTTTTCCCTCCAAAACCTTTCAGTGTGAATTTTTCGTCGTAGCGAATACGAGTCTTGAAACTGCTAGGAACTGAAATTATCTTACTCACTCATTTCTTTCTCTTTCTCTCTCTCTCTCTCTCTCTCTCTATATATATATATATATATATATATATATATATATATATATATATATATATATCATTCTGACCAATAAGGGTTAACGTGTCTCTGCTAATGGAAATAGAAGCGTCCACTGCAGATTATATGCTATATGAAGCTATATATCAATCCGAGAAACAGCATTCTCTGGTGAAAAGATGTCGCCTTTGATTTTCATTAAGCAGCAGAGAATGTACATTTTGCTATACTGATAGAATTGATGAATGCTGCAACTGATGAATGTTTTAACCTTTTATCCGGGTCGGATCAGATTCAAATCTTTGCATGTGCTGAGAAAGGTTAAACGGTTCAATGTTCGTACGATTTACAGTGAAGTTCTCTAACGTTCTATTATCACCCAGCTTGAAACACGATTTAGTTTACTCTATGATCTATTGAAACTAAGTTTAAAATTTAACTCTTTTTCTTCTTTCTTTTAGACTTCGATACTTTAAAATGTTGTGCTGTTAACTCACTAAGTGATTTTTCTTTTGTTTTAAGATTTTCTTCTGGGGTTATTATCTTACGAAATACTCGTCCAGGTTTAATAACACAAGAGGAAATATAAAAGAAAGCCTTCTTTTTCATATCCATTTATTTATTTCATTGCGATTTTCGGCACTGATTGATTTCCCTATGCAAAAGAATGTCGATTGAAAACTCGCCAAATTCGAAAAGGTTTTAAGCAATAAAAAGAACCTTTTTTTTCTAGAAAAATAAAAATAAGCTATAAATAATTAAATAAATAAATACAAAAGAATACTTGTAAATTTGAGTTACTAAGAAAGTACACTGACATGGAAAAGCGCGTGCATAATTGAACGAAATGTTCAGTGTTTCAGTCAAAAAATATATCATGTTTTTTTTCATTTTTTCCAACCTTGCAAAAATAAAATGAAAAAAGAAAATTATTTGATTTATACGAAAGATTCTAGTGATTTTATTCTTCGTTTATGTGTCATGTTCCATCAGGATATAGGAGATTATGGCTCTCCAAATCCTCCTATCTCTTGTAGCACTTAATATTGTCTTTTTTTTATTTTCTCCGAAAACTTTTTCCGCCTTTAAGCTTACTAATTTAGGCGTTGTCTTCGTCGAACCCTCTTGTCTTCAATTTGCCCTGAGAGTATCAGGAATCCAAACCCATCTTTCTTCATTATGTGCCCAAGAAATTTCAAATGTCTCTTCCTGATATTAAGCATATATGTTTCCATTTTATTCCCATTTTCTCTAAAACTTCGTCGGTGATTTTCGAACAATGGTATCCTCAGCATCTTTCAGTAGAACCATTTTTCTACGGTCTCCTCTTCATTATGTCTTTTCTTCATCTGTGAGGAGAATGTCCAGTATTCAATGTCATACAGAGCTGATATTACCTTTTTTTTTTTTTTTATCCCGTAGTGTCAATAGAAGTAGTGTTTCTTGGGCAAGTTGTCCTGACGAAACCCATTCCTCTCCAGGCCGGTTTTGAATTCAGAGTTTTCTTTCCGAAACCAATACAACCGAGTCTGTCCTGCAATTTACCCATAGCTGGGGGGTGGAGAAGAAGTGGATTCATAACTTAGCAGGTAAGTGAATGTAATGAATCCAAATTTAATTCGAACTCTCCGGTTACTCAATCTGAGCTGCTATACATTAACTCACCGTAGCTTCTTCTTTTTATTACTCCTTGTAAATGAATACTAAACGATACTTTTGCTTATAAGAGAGATTTGTTGTGTAGTGTTTAGAGGTGCAGAAATTAGAATTATCCTTTTCTTCACATTCCGGCCGAAGCAGCTGTTATCCCTTTAGTATAAACACAATGGAAAAAGTATGAATCTATCTTATTAAATGAAATCGTAAAAAGTATGCGTTAAAGAAAGTTCAGAATTTACAGTTTTAAAGTATGACTAAAAACCAACTTACTAAAATAACTAAGAACTACTCAAGTAAGACTGCATATTTGACATAAGAATGACCAGATGTTTCTTTCAAAGTATCGTATTCTGTTATGGTAACGGAATGCTCAGACACGTATATCTTTAAACAATAGCCACACAGACAACATTTGATTTATACGGCAACTACATTGAGAGTATTAAAAACCTACATGACAGAGCTCACAATAAGACATGGTAAACAGATTTGAAGAAGGTCATTACACTCAATCTCTCGGTCACGATGACTTGTGACTTCGTGCTAGTGCAACTGTCCGTGTTTTTTGAACGATCCCGTCAACCAAATTTCCCTTAACAATCGTGGGTCAATTAGAGAAAACGGTTCATAGGCAACAAGCCTCTTGCTACTCTATCGCAATTTCGATGGAACTATCTACATTCGTCAGTTCCACGAGTTCTAACCGTCCCACCTGAGACCCACCATGCCACATCTATCATAACGAACATCCTTCATTAGTTTCTTATTTCATAAGGGAGATGCAAGTTCAATTCGAGCAGTTTCTTTCGCCGAATGGCTTCTTTATGGCAACTCCCAAGAGGTTGCGTCTCCTATCACTACGTATTTATTATAGGGTCAACTGTATTCTTCCCCGATATATCCACGCAAAATGTATCTCTTCCCCTGTAACACTCTACCCCGAGTAGCTCTTGGGCATCGTACAGATGAGGATTTTTTTTTAATTTACAAAGGCACTGCTAAGATGTATCCTTTTCCCAGTCTCATATTATTAAG